ACAGTGACGATTTAAACAAAAATTTTGCATCAAGTTTCATTTGATATTGTTCGACTGTTCGATTTCGTTTCCTTTTTTTTTTTAATTTTCTTCGATAAATAAGAGTAACAGTAACGGCAAATGTAGCACAGTGCCGATACTGATCGGAATCGTAACAAGAAAACTATGTAATACGCTAATTAGCCAAGAGAAAATAAATAAGTACATGTTTAATTATTACTATTACAACAGTGACGATTTAAACAAAAATTTTGCATCAAGTTTCATTTGATATTGTTCGACTGTTCGATTTCGTTTCCTTTTTTTTTTTAATTTTCTTCGATAAATAAGAGTAACAGTAACGGCAAATGTAGCACAGTGCCGATACTGATCGGAATCGTAACAAGAAAACTATGTGACACGCTGATCAGCCGAAAGAGAAACGAACAATCACATGTTTAATAGCGATTTAAAAGAAGAAAATTTACATCAAAGTTTCGTTTGATATTGTTTGATATCGTTTGATTGTTTCTTCAATCGTTCTTCTGCAAATGGAGTTAGGTATTTGAAAACTCGATGAAAAATTATTTATATTTTAAACTGTTACAACTTGGTAAAGAAAAAAAAATTCGTGCAACAATCCAGTTGGAGTTGCTTCTCCAGTTTTGAAGTATAGAATCTTCATTTTGACAGCCCTATGTTGGTTGCATGTAGCGAGTAAGAAAGCAAGGAAAATTTATACACTTCTAAAAACAAAATTGAACAAAATTTTTTTAATTAAGTCTATGGTCTCGAAGATTGAAGACCCTCTTAATACTTGCTACATTCCATTTCTTCCCGCCATTTTATTGAACTTCAATAAACACTGACTTGGGACTAAGTGAATTCTTGTTCTCGTTCAACTCTGACGTTTGAAGTTTCAATAAAATCGTACAGCAAGTTTTAAGGAGTTGATAGTAAAAAGAAACTTCAATTTTCAGTTCTAGCTCTGAAAAAGAATTTTCCAATGATTTTCATGATGGTCAATCAAGCTTTTCTCTTTTCTACTTGCCGCGTGACGTGAACAAGAGCGTGAAGGTTACTAACGCAAAGTGTTCAACCTCTTGCGCTAGTTCACGGACTATAACGAGTGAATAATTCGTCTCCTTTTTGAATTCATCGGTATGTCATTGAGAAGTAATAAATTTGTTTTGCCTGAGTTTATATACACTTAAAAAAACTGAGAAAATATTGCAATATTTTGGGCCAAATATTCTCGACGTGCCAACGAGGCCAACCAGACGATTTTGTTTCACGAAGTTTAAAGCACCGAGCCTGTGAATTAGACGTGTAACGGGAGAGAGATGTAAATCGCTGTCTCAACAATTCACCCTTCGAGGGTGAAATCTAATCTAAACGTCGTCCAATTTCGCCGCCCCTCCCTTCTCCGCGAGCCTCGTAAACATCACTGAAGACACGTTATCGGGGAGTGATCTGCCATCGAGCCAGACAC